GATTAAATGCATTTCTAGTTTCTTGAAAGCAAGCAGCATCATTAACACTAGGTATCGTAGGAGACTCTCCTTGATTAGTGTAATGAAATTTTTCACAATTATCTGTACAGAAAAAAAATTATACATTAAATTCATATTTATATTTAAATTCATTAATAACTAAGAATACTCATTGCATCACTTGGAATCAACGAATACTCAAATAGTCAAGAATATTCAATGTATCATTTACACTACATTAAATAATCTTTTTACAGACAGTTTCCAACTTTTGGTTGTAATGTGTTCCTAAAAATTTGTACAAAAGTAAAATTCAAGCAAAAGAATTTGGAACCTAAGAAAGTTTTAGGTTATTAAAGTAATTATGTAATAAAGTATAAAATATTACTTAAAATGTTAGAACCATAAATTAAACATAAAACAGGCAAAAATCTTTAGTAAAAATTAATTTTTATTGTGTTAACAAACCAAAATTGGCATAAAGTATCTACTTCACAAAGCTTAAGATTTTTGTTTGTTGGCTGAAAAATATATGAAAGTGTAAATCAAAAGTTTTCTATTGTTTATATGGTCATTGAAGTGCAAGTATGAATTTCATATTGTTCTCTTTTCTTTTAATTTCTATACAAAATTTTTCATCATGTTGTTTATTTGACAAAAAAAATATTCTGTTACTCTCTCACTTTCTATATTTTCTATATAAAACATTTTTTTTAAAACAAATTTCAGTGAAGTATTTGTACCAAATCCAGAGCCTCATTTTATTATTAATTATTATAAAAAAAAATAAAAGCCTTATTTTGAGTTATTTTGAGTCTTTAAAGAAACCGTAAATGGCACTAATGTAAAATTTTCATTAAGTGTAATCCTCTGAGATGCAACATGATCTCTATCTTCCCATCCTCTTGACATTTAACTACCATAACTTAATACTATCAATACTCCTGACAAGATTCAAAGTTTTTGGTTCCTCCAGTCCTGAGATATAATGCAAAATAGTGACACAATTTTTTGAGTTGTATTTTTTCCATTTTTTTTAGCTCACTAAGTGTCAAAATAAAGAAAAGGGGAGTCAAAATTTGGCCAGTCACCATCCTATGTTATAGTCTATAATAGTCATAAAAGTAAAATAAGAGTTTAATAATATAACAATCTCTAAGCATTAAATATGATCTCAGAATCTGGATGGTTTTTTAAGCTATATCTAAGCTAAGCTGTATCTTTGTAAATTTCAAGCAACTCTGAATGATTAGCCAATGTTGTACAATGGATTATCTTAATTATGGTCTTATAAGATCACATTGTCTACTAGTCTACAAATGCTGAAAGGGATGTAAAAGTAGATATATTTTCTGGAGTCATATTGGTGTTTTTAATAAGATGAAAAAAAACATTTGTTCTTGTATGAAATTTAACATGGATATTTAAATTTCTAATTTCTTACATTGAAGTCATCCAGTTACTGTTTGTATTAATTATTTATTGGATATTGAAGTGTGACAGGTGATGGATGTTATACATAACATAAGCTATCTGTCATAGAAGCTTATGAAATCTGTATACAAAATGTACAAAAGTACATTGTCATATTGTTTAATACACTTATATATATGTGAGAGTACTAACTTTCACATTTTATATAAATATAAAATGTGAAAGTTAAATAAATATTTAAAAATTATATCTTATACAATTTAACAGACTAAAAAAATTAAAAAAGATAAAATATTTTATGCGGATTACTTTAAGACAATATATAAATTATTTTAATAAATTAACATTCCAGCAGATAGTAATAAATCAAACATAACTCAACTTTTTTTCATTATTCTAAAAACCAATGAACAAATAGTAACTACCTAATCAGGTAATTAGTACAATCTGCTGAGATTTTCAAAAACGTTTTCATCAAAATCTAGTATCATCATCATCATTTATTTTAATGTATTAATTTTGCAAACGATTTTTAAGACATGTATATTTATTACATATACACAAGCATCTACTCAGACACATACATACATACATCAGATAATGAAAAAATATACCTATATATATAAATGGATAAAATTTCAATATTTACCTAATTTCAGAATGCGAAGTTCCTCTAAATCTGATGCAGCACAAAGCTGATAAAATATATGATAATTTCTTTCATCTGCAGCTTGAAAAACAACACGAGATTTCTCCAGTAGATATGTTCTCATATTTGCTCCAACAATATTGTATTTAGTATTGAAATCGATTTCTATGTACTTCCCAAATCTTGAGCTATTATCATTTCTTGTGGTCTTGGCATTTCCAATTGACTACAGAAATTACTGAAATTATTTCTTTGCAAACTATAAGAAATATAAATGTTAAAAATATTTAAATTCTCAAATCAAAATTCTTTACAATTCCTTAATAAGGGAATAGAAAGAATTATTAATAAAATTTTTGTTTATTAACAAATTTGTTTATTAATAAATTATTAATTACAGTTGATTCTCAATTGTACTAAAATACAATTGAGAATCAACTGTAATTAATAATTTATTTAACATTACAAAAAAGTTGAATCTTCAGTCAATTTGATGATAAACTAAAATCAATAGTAAGTACAATGCGTCCATAAATGTTTTATCCAATTTTAAAAATGTACTTGGAAGACTCAGTAAATCTTCCAAGTACATACACAAAACAAACACAAGCTGAAAGAGCAGTTCAAAGGTTATTTAAACATAGAAAGAAATTAGTCAAGTTCAACATCAGCACTACAAGTAGATTGATAACATCATACCAATATTTAACCTCTCACCACCTATTGCACAGCCTCAAATAAAGAAGGAATTTAAAATGTTACATTCTAGCAAGAAAAGGCTGCACCTCACTTCCACAACAATATGAGCTCTTACCTCAATCAACATCTGCTCCAACGTTGGATCAGATGTAAAGGCCTTTTGGCATGACTTCCCTAGACATCACACCCTGGATTTCTTTCTATGGTGATTTGTTAAAGACAGTGTCTATATCCCCCACTATCAACATTGATCCCAAAGTTAAAGCAATAAATAAATGATTCCTGTGCTAAAGCACAACTGATCCTAACACACTGCACAATGTGTGGCAAAAGGTTGAATATTGATACAATGTCATTCAAATTACTTGTGGTGCTCATGTTAAACTTGAATAGTGTCTTTCTGTGTGTAAATAAACTTTTGAACTGTTCTTTCAACTCATGTTTGTTTCATGTATGTATGTATGGTACTTTGCAGACTCATTGAGCAATAAATTTTCAAAGTTGGAAAAAATGTTTAGACACCCTGTATACTTATTTATGAAATTATTAGACTACTGTATCTGTAAAAATAAATATGTATTAATAGAATCAATTATATATTCAAATACTTATATCTTTCTGATATTGAAATATGTGGTTATTAAAGTAATTATGTAATAAAGTATAAAATATTACTTAAAATGTTAGAACCATAAATTAAACATAAAACAGGCAAAAATCTTTAGTAAAAATTAATTTTTATTGTGTTAACAAACCAAAATTGGCATAAAGTATCTACTTCACAAAGCTTAAGATTTTTGTTTGTTGGCTGAAAAATATATGAAAGTGTAAATCAAAAGTTTTCTATTGTTTATATGGTCATTGAAGTGCAAGTATGAATTTCATATTGTTCTCTTTTCTTTTAATTTCTATACAAAATTTTTCATCATGTTGTTTATTTGACAAAAAAAATATTCTGTTACTCTCTCACTTTCTATATTTTCTATATAAAACATTTTTTTTAAAACAAATTTCAGTGAAGTATTTGTACCAAATCCAGAGCCTCATTTTATTATTAATTATTATAAAAAAAAATAAAAGCCTTATTTTGAGTTATTTTGAGTCTTTNTGTTGTTTTAATGAAAATTAAATGTTATTAATCAGAAATTAATTCTTTGTAATAAACTTCTATTTAGAATATCTGTATTTAATTTACACAAAAATAATTTAACCATATACATGAAATTATTCATAAATTAGTTTCACACAAATTAATAAAAATTAATGCTATATTGTTATCTATTTTATAAGTCAGTAAACAATCTTGCTGTAAAAATTAAAATACTCAAGTTTTTAAAGTAATTAAGCATTAAATAGAAAATAACTGTGTTCAAACTAATCAAATTTTTAATGTTATGGAAAAATGAAAGAATCCAGTAGGTATAGGGTGTATTTAAATCTGTATTTTACAAACAAATACAATATAGTAAAAAAATTTATGAAAAAGTTTTAATACATTTCTCATTATAAAAAATTTTATTTATTTATTATTCAATTAAAATCTATTCTAGTAATATTTTTAATAAAATTATCAATTTAAATAAATCTATTGAAAAATTAATAAATACTTGCTTACTTGTTCTGCAATCATTGGTTTTGTAATTATTTCTCTCATGCTTTGTATTTTTCTATTACATAGCCATATTCTCATTTGATCACAATCAATGCCCAATAACTCACACATAACTTTGATGAAAGGATCATTTTCCTTTAAAAGAAAAATCCATTATATATAAATCAACAATATATGTTATAAACTTAAAAAATTATTTTTAAAAATATCCTAATTTATACAATTTTTTATTTAATCATTAAATATTTTTACTTTAGGCAATCCAATATGTTGAGAAGCATTACTTTTAAATGTTCCTGATATATAATAAATTTCATAAAATCAATAAATCCTCATACAATATCAGATAAATTTTCTGTGTTCTGATTTGACTATAAAAATCTTTTTGTAGGTTTTTATTTTGCATTTAACAAGCCATTCTAAATATCATATGAATGATTTTAATTTCTTATGCATCTATTCTCAAATTTTTTTGACAATTTTAATTTTTTAAAAAATGATATTTTTATGACTAATAAATTTGAAATTGTTTTGACAAGAACCATACTAATATCAAAATTTCAGTTAATCATTACTTTTTTAAAATTATATATTTAATACTATCTTATTTTGTTGTATATTTAATACTGTCATATTTAAATGTAAAATAATTGCATTTGTTAGTATTCATTATTTGTTTATGATATTAAGTAAGTATTCAATCTATTATGTCTTAAATTTTCAATGAGCAATTATTTATTGTGACATTATCACAATGCTAAGTTGCAATTTTTAATTTATATAATTTAAAATAAATGCTCTTCACCTCAAATTAGTAGTGGCTTGCCCCTACTAATTTTCGTTGTCCTTCCTATTTTTCCTTTAACAATAGTCATGCCAGTCATCCATCTAACACCTTTCAGGGAAAATTTTTTTAATTGAAATAATGTGACTTCCAGTTTGCACCAGAAGTTCATATATAGTTAATTGGAGCCTCCGGCACCTAAGATTTCCATACATGGTTTCATCTTTCATCCATCTTACTCTGTTCTTGAGATTAAAGAAAGACAAATGAACAGATGTACAACAGTGGAAATTTATAGGTCTACAACTTTTTCAAATTACATCACAAATGCTCTCATGACTAGACCATAATTCTCAATATTTTGATATGGAGACACATGTTCTTGTTTTACTTGTTCTTAAATAAATTCTACATATTTCAAAATTTCAATGCTTTACTTCCTATTGTGTCTTTAGGATGACTCATCTTATGGGATGTCATGGCTCTCTCTCTAACCTTCATTTCTTCTCAATCTCCTTTTGTTGTCCTTTTGTTGAAAATAATGGAGACAGTAGTACCGTGATACTTTAACTGTAGAGAACATTAAGTTGGAGTGGCAAGGTCAAATTCAAATCAGTAATAATGATTTAGACAGTAAATACAGGCAGTTTCAGAGTTACAACACACATCCATTCTTACAGCTTGATATAAGTCAGATTTCATCATAAGTCAGTTCACTACATCCAATTTCACTTCCATCCTTTCTTTCCTTTTCTTTGAAACACTGTCATCAGTAGAATCAACCTTACACTTGGGAACCATAATAAAGAGCAAAAAAATATGAAGCACTATACACTAATGTAACAAAAGCACAGGCTAACACAAGAACAATGTACCACAATAGCACTCAACATAGTATTCTTCATTTACTTAGCTGTATTCCTACACTGTACCAAATAATAACAACAAAATGTAGTTCTAGTTTGCATCCCATACCTATGCTGTTAGTGCCCTTTACATTGACGTCATATCATAACTTCAGGTCATCATTATATGTAAGAACCAGATTTATTATGAATAGCATTGTAAGATCAGATTGGTGTAAGCTCAGTGCATCACAACCCAAGAACTGCCTGTATCCATATTAAATTCTACAATATTTTGGACAAACATCATAACTTAGTTACTTTGAAGTATCAAGGACATAAATAGTGCAAAAAACTTCAGTCGTAGGTTGAGTTGTCAACAGATAAAATGATTAAGATGTACACCAGTATAAAATTTTTCACAATTACATTTCAAGATTGAAGAAAATCAAATCTATAAGGGCAGGAATCTGCAAAGAAAATCGTTTAAAACGGAAATCACTGATCCACATTGTTCCAAAGAGTCAAGCATCTCCAAATGACTTCTTATTTGAGAAAGATTAATGAAATAATAAGATTACAACAATACCACATGGTAATTAGGATCAATGATATGCTTATTCAATTTCTCAAAAGCGAGTACATTTCTGTACCAGATCTAAAATCTGGCTGTTTTCAATCCCTATCAACAAGGATTTGTACCTCATCTTTGAAATCAGCATGTCTTGGACCAAATTCCAACTGTGCAGGATACTTCAAAGTAGTAAGAATAGTAGACACTACTTTCACTATGTAGTGTCAAAAATTTTAGCTAAATATTACAGGAATTAATTATTTTACATTTTAAGATAATGTGATTTTTCCCAGACATTGCAAAAACACATGGTCCTGGTTGATAATGTCATTGAACCAATTAAAAGGAACCCTGACAAATGTAAGATATTGTTTCCAAAGATTTCAAATGACACTAGAGCAGGGGTCGCAACCTGTAGTATGCAGGATGATTTTCAGTGGCACTCTGATTGAATAGAAATGTAGTAAAAATTATTATTTTTTTATTAATTATATTTAAATAAAAGTCATTGTTCAGCAAAGGCCATGATACATTAAAAATGAATCTTGTTTGTATATTTCTATTACAGCACATGTTTCTGCTCCATGTTGCCATCTACGTGTTATGCAATATTACGTGTTGTGAGTAAGAACATAGTTCAATTAACAATTTAACTTCAAAATTATACATTTTGAAGTCTGTTATAACCAGACTAATTTTGATAACATATATAATAAACTTGGTAGAATTATGTCAGCACTCTGAATAACACTATAATTTACATTCAATACAACACCACTGAAAGGTTGTCAACTTCTGCACTAAAGTAAACATTTGTGGCTACACGCCATATTTTAAACCGTATGATACATATATATCTTCACTTCACCTTCGTCTGTCCTATTTGTTTACTCTTCTATAATATTATCGTCTTCCCATTGACTTTAGTGTGTGGGTGGACTGAGAGGAAAGGAATGAATGGAAGGCTTTTGAGAGGGGATATGAGTGGACTGAGGTGAGAGGAGGAACGAGGGGGAGTTATGAAGGAGAAGTTACGAGGGGGAGAACGAAGGGAAGGAGAGGAGAGAAGAAACGGAGTCAGTGTGGGAGTGAGCAGGGAGGTGAAAGGAGATTGGAAGTGAGAGGAGAAGGGAAAGGACGGGAGACGGAGAGGAAGGAAGTGGATAGGGGAGATCGTAAGGAAAGCCTCCCCTGTAAGTTGGACATTGTATGGTGAGATGAGAAATAGAGAACTTTAGAACAAGAGGAAGAAAAAGGAACTTAAATGAGAGGAACCAGGCGGATCGCCCCTTTTGGATTAATATCTCAGTGTGAAACAAGAATCGAGTGAATCAGCCCCCCCTTGACCGACAAGAAGCCTCATCCATGAGCCCACACACTTCAACCTGCATCATCAAGTTTTGGGTACCCTCTTTCCTTATTCTTTTCTTTCACCTTCTAAATCTTCGAATAAGCCGGCTATATTCAATTAGTTTAGTAATAATAGGAATCTAGTATTAAGTAAGATAATTTTAGTTAATCGGACTGTTCGGTTTGGAAAAAGGGACAACTAGAATTGTTGGTATCCTATGAAATCCTGTATTTGGACTAGCAAGTTAATAAATAATTGTATTTTATGTTATCTAATCTGGATTGTGTGTCTTTATATAACTCGCAGAAATCACACATTTAACACTTAAGTAATAAGCAAATATTTATAATTATGCAAATCCACACTATTCCTTATTATCCAATACTATTCTTTCACAAATAAAGATTCCACAATAACAAGAAACAGTTGTTTCTCTCAAATACAGAAATCATAAATAAACACTAAAAATACTGAAATGTTAAAAAATTCAAATAATAATGTGATTTTGTGTTTTTACATTATTTTACTACTTATAATTATTATAACAAATTTTCATAAACTATAAATAAATTGGATTGAAAACTTTTAATCCTGTAAAAATTTAATAAAATAACATTTTCTATTAATATTCTAGCCACTCTAGCCATCTTTAATTTAATGTTTGTACACAAGCATTGTATGCCACTATGTTAAGTTTTGAAGCTAGCTAAAAAAAAATTAGTCAAAAATATCCATTTTATTAATTTTTTTTATGGATTGACAGTATACTTTCATAAAAAAATTTGTTTCATTGATTCACTCATCAGAAAGACATAACCTAATTTATCAATTCTTTAAAAAATTGTTCGGTTTAATTACATTAAAATCGGTATTGATATTAAATAAAATCAAAATCATTAAGAGATGACATACTAACAGAAATGCTACAGCTTTCACTATCTCCTCTTGAATCTGCACTAATTATTCTAACATTACCAAGATGAAGGATTGAAGCAAGTATTCTAAAAATCATCATTTGCTGCGTATCAGAAAATCCTGCAAAATAAATATTAATTTCAATTATATAATAAATTTAATATATATAAATATAAATTTCTTTATTCAATTACATTAATTTTAATAATACTGAAAACACTCAATCTAAAATTATTCTGATTTCATTTAAAAAGCTACAAAACTTAGATTCCACATATATATTTTCATTAGTAGCTAATAATAACATAATAATAAGCATTATTTGTGGATAAATTAAGTTTTATTTTTCAGTCTGTTTGATTTCAGTGATTTTCAGGAAAAAGATTGACTTTTCCAGAAATCATGGTAGTAATTTAAAATATGTATTATGAATAATGGAAAGATATTTTTTAATTTTATATAAACCATTTTGATACAGATACATTAAAATTACTTGAAATTTAGTATCTATATTCAGTAGAGGCCTATTTTACTTTAACCCATATGATTGCATTGACTTGACATTTGCAATAATCATATAGTACAGTATTAATTACATCTCTTATAACAGTCCAAATGCAAGTTTGTCATTTTGATAAAATGTCATTTCTGCATTTAGCACAGTGCCAGTCAAATCATATGGAAAAGGGTTATGCTTAAAATGGTTTGTGTAAGACAAACATTTTTATAAATATAGTAGTTTTTAATCTTTTAAATTCAAAATCTACTTCAAATACAATAGAATCTCATTTTAATGGATCACAAAACAAAAGATTTTTTCCAGGTCCCACCAAATCAATGTAATTTTTACCTCCTTTTAGCAGATCCATTAATTGGAATAACAGATTTTTTTCTATCCCAAATCTATTGTAAACTTTGCATTTTTTCAACATTTAGTTAATATTTAGGTGTATCTGGAAATTTGTAGTGTTTGATGATGCACTTGTTACATTTGGAATATGCAGTGCTTTCTTTGTTATAGAACGCAATAGAACAGCATTCCACCACCTTTTTTCGATATATTTTAAAAGTTCTAAGAAAATTTTTGAAAATTTGATGTTTAGTCCATATTGAATTGCTCTGTTGAGCATAGAAGATCGGCAACAAAATTATTAAAACGGTCCTGCTCGTGTGCCGAATCTTGTATAAGATGCATTTAATATATTTTTAGTAATGAGATGAGTGTTCCACCACCTTTTTTTGCCCAGAAAAAGCAATGGGAATATGTACAACTGAAGAATTGTACAAAGAGAGTCAGCAGGCTGATACAATTTAAAAGGATCAACTAGTGAACACTCACTGGTCTTAGTGTAGTACCAAAATTTAGAAAGGTCATCAAGTATTTTCAAGCCATGAAGACTTTCCTGATGAGTTTCAGCATAAACAAACAGGTTCTACTGTACACGACATTGCTAATATCAAGCAGTGTTGTAATCAAAAATAGAAAAAAGTGGTATAAAAAGAAATCAAAATGGATGAGCTTTTTAACAAATTGTGAAGTCAAGCAAAGTGCTAATAAACGTATGTAATTTGCTTCTTTTTATGCTTACAGTATCAGCTTTGTTGTACACACATATGACATAATATATAACCATATACAGCATAATATACACATACATCACAAATGTGTTTCTATAGAATAAAGTGGAGATCTCAAGGGACTGAAAAATTTCAAGTACTGGTATTTCTTATATATAGGGGTTAAAAAAACAAATTTTTTCAAACAATAGATATTTTCCTGGGTGTGTGGCAAATCTGTTGTTTGCAATATAACAGATACTCGAAACAACAGATAATAAGAAAGACAAAACCTTTCACACTTTGTTTTTAGCAATTTTAATCCATAAGAACAAATGTTATCAGCTGTTTTGAATGGCCTTCTTCGGGTACAATAAGGTCAGTTGGAACGTTGGTTAGCAAATATTGAAATGATGTCACTGTTTACAAAGGTTTTTTCTTACCGACATCTTTTAAACTTTGTAATCAACAATGATGTCACTAGTAAGAAGAAACCTTTGTAAACAGTGATGTCATTTCAATATTTGCTAATCGACGTTCCAACTGACCTTACTGTACCTGACAAAGGCCATTCAAAATGGCCAAAAATATTTGTTCTTATGGATTAAAATTGCTAGAAACAAAGTGTGAAAGGTTTTGTCTCTCTTATTTTAAGTACTTCTAGCTTTGTGTGCTTAGAAGTTACAAAAGATAATTTTTGGCTGCCCAGTCTGTTAAAATAAGAATTCTTCTGTGTGTATAACATGATCTTACTTATTAAATATTGAGAAATATCAATATAATTTTTATCAGAATTTCCAGAGTTGTTTATGAACAACTCTGGAAATTCTGAATGAAAAGTATGACTCACTTAAAGTGCTTCAAAAAAGATTAGATTTTTTGTAAAACTATCAAACTAATTCAAAAAATTTCTACATTAATTCAATAAGTCAACTTATTTATTTATAATTAAACATTTTCAGATTTTTTGTCTTATTGTCAAATCAAGCACTTAATGAATTCCAACATAGAGAAAGCTAAAATCTGCATATTTTAAAAACAAACTCACATACCTAAAAGATTAAATGCATTTCTAGTTTCTTGAAAGCAAGCAGCATCATTAACACTAGGTATCGTAGGAGACTCTCCTTGATTAGTGTAATGAAATTTTTCACAATTATCTGTACAGAAAAAAAATTATACATTAAATTCATATTTATATTTAAATTCATTAATAACTAAGAATACTCATTGCATCACTTGGAATCAACGAATACTCAAATAGTCAAGAATATTCAATGTATCATTTACACTACATTAAATAATCTTTTTACAGACAGTTTCCAACTTTTGGTTGTAATGTGTTCCTAAAAATTTGTACAAAAGTAAAATTCAAGCAAAAGAATTTGGAACCTAAGAAAGTTTTAGGTTATTAAAGTAATTATGTAATAAAGTATAAAATATTACTTAAAATGTTAGAACCATAAATTAAACATAAAACAGGCAAAAATCTTTAGTAAAAATTAATTTTTATTGTGTTAACAAACCAAAATTGGCATAAAGTATCTACTTCACAAAGCTTAAGATTTTTGTTTGTTGGCTGAAAAATATATGAAAGTGTAAATCAAAAGTTTTCTATTGTTTATATGGTCATTGAAGTGCAAGTATGAATTTCATATTGTTCTCTTTTCTTTTAATTTCTATACAAAATTTTTCATCATGTTGTTTATTTGACAAAAAAAATATTCTGTTACTCTCTCACTTTCTATATTTTCTATATAAAACATTTTTTTTAAAACAAATTTCAGTGAAGTATTTGTACCAAATCCAGAGCCTCATTTTATTATTAATTATTATAAAAAAAAATAAAAGCCTTATTTTGAGTTATTTTGAGTCTTTAAAGAAACCGTAAATGGCACTAATGTAAAATTTTCATTAAGTGTAATCCTCTGAGATGCAACATGATCTCTATCTTCCCATCCTCTTGACATTTAACTACCATAACTTAATACTATCAATACTCCTGACAAGTTTCAAAGTTTTTGGTTCCTCCAGTCCTGAGATATAATGCAAAATAGTGACACAATTTTTTGAGTTGTATTTTTTCCATTTTTTTTAGCTCACTAAGTGTCAAAATAAAGAAAAGGGGAGTCAAAATTTGGCCAGTCACCATCCTATGTTATAGTCTATAATAGTCATAAAAGTAAAATAAGAGTTTAATAATATAACAATCTCTAAGCATTAAATATGATCTCAGAATCTGGATGGTTTTTTAAGCTATATCTAAGCTAAGCTGTATCTTTGTAAATTTCAAGCAACTCTGAATGATTAGCCAATGTTGTACAATGGATTATCTTAATTATGGTCTTATAAGATCACATTGTCTACTAGTCTACAAATGCTGAAAGGGATGTAAAAGTAGATATATTTTCTGGAGTCATATTGGTGTTTTTAATAAGATGAAAAAAAACATTTGTTCTTGTATGAAATTTAACATGGATATTTAAATTTCTAATTTCTTACATTGAAGTCATCCAGTTACTGTTTGTATTAATTATTTATTGGATATTGAAGTGTGACAGGTGATGGATGTTATACATAACATAAGCTATCTGTCATAGAAGCTTATGAAATCTGTATACAAAATGTACAAAAGTACATTGTCATATTGTTTAATACACTTATATATATGTGAGAGTACTAACTTTCACATTTTATATAAATATAAAATGTGAAAGTTAAATAAATATTTAAAAATTATATCTTATACAATTTAACAGACTAAAAAAATTAAAAAAGATAAAATATTTTATGCGGATTACTTTAAGACAATATATAAATTATTTTAATAAATTAACATTCCAGCAGATAGTAATAAATCAAACATAACTCAACTTTTTTTCATTATTCTAAAAACCAATGAACAAATAGTAACTACCTAATCAGGTAATTAGTACAATCTGCTGAGATTTTCAAAAACGTTTTCATCAAAATCTAGTATCATCATCATCATTTATTTTAATGTATTAATTTTGCAAACGATTTTTAAGACATGTATATTTATTACATATACACAAGCATCTACTCAGACACATACATACATACATCAGATAATGAAAAAATATACCTATATATATAAATGGATAAAATTTCAATATTTACCTAATTTCAGAATGCGAAGTTCCTCTAAATCTGATGCAGCACAAAGCTGATAAAATATATGATAATTTCTTTCATCTGCAGCTTGAAAAACAACACGAGATTTCTCCAGTAGATATGTTCTCATATTTGCTCCAACAATATTGTATTTAGTATTGAAATCGATTTCTATGTACTTCCCAAATCTTGAGCTATTATCATTTCTTGTGGTCTTGGCATTTCCAATTGACTACAGAAATTACTGAAATTATTTCTTTGCAAACTATAAGAAATATAAATGTTAAAAATATTTAAATTCTCAAATCAAAATTCTTTACAATTCCTTAATAAGGGAATAGAAAGAATTATTAATAAAATTTTTGTTTATTAACAAATTTGTTTATTAATAAATTATTAATTACAGTTGATTCTCAATTGTACTAAAATACAATTGAGAATCAACTGTAATTAATAATTTATTTAACATTACAAAAAAGTTGAATCTTCAGTCAATTTGATGATAAACTAAAATCAATAGTAAGTACAATGCGTCCATAAATGTTTTATCCAATTTTAAAAATGTACTTGGAAGACTCAGTAAATCTTCCAAGTACATACACAAAACAAACACAAGCTGAAAGAGCAGTTCAAAGGTTATTTAAACATAGAAAGAAATTAGTCAAGTTCAACATCAGCACTACAAGTAGATTGATAACATCATACCAATATTTAACCTCTCACCACCTATTGCACAGCCTCAAATAAAGAAGGAATTTAAAATGTTACATTCTAGCAAGAAAAGGCTGCACCTCACTTCCACAACAATATGAGCTCTTACCTCAATCAACATCTGCTCCAACGTTGGATCAGATGTAAAGGCCTTTTGGCATGACTTCCCTAGACATCACACCCTGGATTTCTTTCTATGGTGATTTGTTAAAGACAGTGTCTATATCCCCCACTATCAACATTGATCCCAAAGTTAAAGCAATAAATAAATGATTCCTGTGCTAAAGCACAACTGATCCTAACACACTGCACAATGTGTGGCAAAAGGTTGAATATTGATACAATGTCATTCAAATTACTTGTGGTGCTCATGTTAAACTTGAATAGTGTCTTTCTGTGTGTAAATAAACTTTTGAACTGTTCTTTCAACTCATGTTTGTTTCATGTATGTATGTATGGTACTTTGCAGACTCATTGAGCAATAAATTTTCAAAGTTGGAAAAAATGTTTAGACACCCTGTATACTTATTTATGAAATTATTAGACTACTGTATCTGTAAAAATAAATATGTATTAATAGAATCAATTATATATTCAAATATTTATATCTTTCTGATATTGAAATATGTTTTTTTAACAGTAATTTCTTCAAATTATAAAACTTTATAATTTCAAAAAACCAAATTTTTTAATGTCAGTAGGTTTTTTTATTGATACAGTTCTAGTAGTTCATTTTCATATTACAAAAATATCATATAGATTGAATTTATTATTATTATTATTATTATTATTTCCTATAACTTAAACTTTACTCAATATCTAAAAATATATTTTTCTATAGATCCTGTAACAGAAGCTTGAATATAAGGATTATTTCTTTTTTTATTAAAATTATTTCAACCAAAAAAATATGCTTGAGGATTACATAGAGCAGAGGTGGCAAACCTTTTTGAGCCCGCATGCCATACTGTAAGCATACTTAGCTTTAAAGATGTTTATGTGTGCCAAAGTTTAAAACTTTGGCATGCATAAACATCTTTAAAGCTATAACAATATTTAAATAAATTAAACGAAAATGCTTTAATTAGAATAAATGAAACAATGATTGAAAAAGACAAACGATAAATCAAAATCGTACGATATGTTACGTGCCAGATGATTTCTCCTTACGTGCCACTTTGGGCATGCGTGCCATAGGTTTGCCACCCCTGACATAGAGTATATATTAATTTTGCATGAACAAATGAGGCTATTAATAATTTTATAAGCATACTGAGACTGCTTGTTACAAATACATTTTATTTAAAAATAATTATTCTAATATTCTTATTCTATTAGTCTTGAAGACACACATTATTAACAACAATGAAAGCATTTAATTTTACATTAAAATCTCATTTATCCAAATCCAAATAAAAATACAGTAAGATTAACAGTTAATAAAAAAATTAAAGCTCAACATTAGATAATGATTGCCATACTAGGACATAATGACTTCTACTTGGTTGTGACACTTAGTCATGACAGAATGCCATTCCTAATTAATCATTTCATATTTATTAATTATGTTTGAATCACAAATGTGAAATGGTGCACATTGTATTATAGATACTCTACTGCTTAAACGTTATTAATTATTTTTGTGAGTTTTTATTCTTGTTACAAGAAAAAAAATGATGATGATTGCTGTTCCAATGGAGTAGAATAGATACATTTCTTTAATCTCAACAATTCAAATATTCCAAAATTATAAAGTATCTAAACTTTTCTTTATCTAAATTGGATTTGATCCTATGAAATCTGATAAATGCATTTCTACTTAACTTAAACTTAACTTTCTACTTTCTTTAGGCTTATATAATTTTTATATAAACATCAATAGTGTTGTTAATTATACAAACAATAGGAGATATTCTTCCTTTTTACAATTTCTTTGTATTTATTTTATTTATTATTATTATAAATTAATATTATTATTAATTTATTATTAATTAATTATAATAAANATATTATTATTATTAATTAGAACATTTTAAACTAAAATGTTCAAATAACATTTTAGTTTAAAATGTTCTAATTTTTCAATTACAAAATGTTCTGATCTGTGACTTATGAATCAGCTGGTTAACAAGAAGAGGGCACCACATTTGACTTATGGACCTAAATTCATTTTTAAAAAATCTGTTTACTTCTGATTCATTTTTATATTTTTGTAGTTTTATTATTTTAAAAACTTGTAAATTAGATATGTAAGACACAGTAGATCAGTATTTTAATTTCATGTTTTTAGCTGCATTCTGAAATATCAGAACAAGGAGTCCATTAAACTGTTTTAATTAAATAAAATTTTCTTTTGGATGATCTAAGATTTGGAAAGCTTTGGTCTCAATAACATTTATCTTGTTCTTTTCATGAGTTTCTTTATTTTAGTGTGTTTTTTTTTAGACTTAAAACTGTCATAAAGACTTGTAAAGATATCTCAATTTTTGTATTCTAATAACAAAACAAATTTGTGCTTTCATTAAGTTTTATTCTTAACTTCAAAATAAGACCCTGAGAATAAAAATTTGATTTTAAACTTATTTAAGAAATTAAAAGATGGAAATATGAAATTAAAGTAATATGTGAATATCAAATCAATAAACTTAAGTATAATTCTGGATTTCAGATATCTGAATGCAATAATTCATTCATTTAAGAATTTATTCTGTGTAAAATTAATACCTTTCTACTCAATAATTTCTATAATGCTTACTTCCATAATAGGATTAGAAGCCAATACTTTTTTCTCAATACAGGTTTCTGTTGAAGAACCCCCAACAGTAGCAAAGTACCTCATTGCGTATTTTGCAGAAACTGTTTTTCCTGCTCCTGATTCACCACTCACAATAATAGACTGATTTTTACTTTCTCTAAAGGAAGAATAAAATAAATTATAAAACATTAATGAAATCTCAGATGTTATATACATATATTATATACATTGTAAAAACATTCTGTAAATAAAGAAAACATGATAAACTGCAATCAAAGTGTTAATCTGGCACTAATGGACCAGAATGATGCTGGATTATTGACAATGTCAAATTGTCAAATTTTTGCATTTTTTACAATTTTGATTAGCTAGTTGTACCCAGCAAAATATTGCTGTAAAAAATTATTGCTAAATTACAAGTAAATAGGAAAATAAAGCAGCAAATAAATTTATTTACATAAAAATTATTAATATAAGACACTTTCTCAGTAAACAATATTTCTTGTATTAATACTTTCAGAGGTAGGTATTCATTTCTGCAAATTAAACCAACAACATTTAATTAAACAGTTTTTTGTTACCTTCTTACCTACCTGTAACATTTCTTTCTTAGGATCCATTTTATTTGGCATCAGACCTCCTAACCAAAATTGAATTTACAATAATCCTTCCATTAATAACAAAATTAAAAAATAATCAGAAATCAATAAAAATTTAAAAATCTGAAAGCATTGAAAAAAATATCAACTCAGTTATTTTCAGAAGTGTTTTTATACTGGACAGGGATAAGTTCAATAGCTAAAATGTCAGGGAGGAGTGCCACTATGGCAAGTGTAAAATTGGGCACATTTTTTGCAATTAATTTAAATAAAATTAAACAGCAAAACAGATTCATTACAGTTAATCTATATCAAATAAGTGTCAAAATGATGTATAAAATGTAATTTAATTCATATGCATGTACTTTAATGAATTAGAAATAGATTTCATCTTAAAGTATTTTCTATATGTAGATTGTGTATGATCTGAATGTCACTGACATTGCTGTACATTTTATACTAGCACATGTTGATGTATGGTTTGTTTATGTATGTTCTTCAGTCACTGTGAAAATGATACAGCATATGATGATACAGTGGGTGATCGATTAATGAACATAATCCATTCCAAAACTTTGTTGCTATCTGAATTGTTCGTTAACCGATTATCGATTTACCATAGGTTTTAATGGAAATTTAATTAATTCATTCTGGAGACCCCCAAAAATAAAAAATATATACTTTCTTACTACGTTTATTTATATGTAATAATAAAAATACATACATACACAGTCTTGCATTTTTATTACTCATGTTTTTTCCATTTGAAAAGGTTAAATAATCTGTCTAATGTTGATTGCTTTTCTCTCTTCAGGATTTTTCATAAGTAGTTATTAATAGCATTGCAATTGTAGAAATCCCCAAGCCTCAACCTGGTTTGGATGCCATTCTATGATCGTTATTTTGACATCCTCCTACTACTACAAAAGATCTTTAATAACAGATATCGGCATTAATCTTCTTTTTCAGAAGAAGACATATCTTGCTGAGTTTCTTGGTGTTCTTCATTCAAGAGTTCTTGGCGTTCTTCTGTCATCAGATCTGTTTCGGATTCCATTATGAACTCTTCGATGTTCTTTATATTCTTTATATCTCAGATGCGATTTTTGTTACTACTTTAGCTGCTTGAGTCTTCTTGATAATACAGTATCTTTCTTAGATAAGATTTAACTACGGCCTACTGTAGACCTGTTCAAGCCATACTGCCCAGAAACATTAGGCATCTTCTGCCCACTCTCTACCTTTGCTATTATACTCTGACCTTTCGAAAAGAAAAACAGACGCAAAACTTAATGAGTGCCTACCCAACAGTCTCGCAAATACATAAAAGAATTGTTTCTGTCAGAAAAATAAAAGGCTGGAATTAAAAAGGATAGTTTCAAAGTTCAGAGGAATATTATCTGATCGGTATATACCAGCTTGAGCATCGATGTCGACGTCTCCCACACTCCGAAAGGTTTCAAATTGTTGCCCGAAGACAAGGGAAGACCAATCGGTATTCATTATTTTACATCGCTTCTTCTCGTGTTTGTTCTATGGGGTGTTCGTTTTCCGATCACGTGTTCGTTGTCCGAACATAAAAATCTTTTGTGAAAGTGTTCATTATCCGATCTGTTTGTTAACCGATCACCCACTGTACTGTAATATGATTAATTAAGAATAATGTATTACAAAAATGTTAATGAGCATATTATTCCATAAAATCATCATTCATGATGATTCATATATTTCACGTATTATATACATGCTACACAATGCTATATATGAATATGAGAAATCTCTTCTAGCTAGGCAATACTATCTTCACATTGGACTGTGAGGAAAAAAAAAATAAATGTATTAAGCACAGAAAAAGTATTCTACTAATGCAAACAAGATACTCTAACAAATTGAGTCAGTTTTCACATTACACTTGATCTCATGATTGACTTCTCAATGCATGGCAGACCTTCTACCCTCAATTTCCACCTGAAATCTTTAGCACACTTTAATGTTCTAACTATTTTTAACTATGTTGTTTTAATGTTCTAACTATTTCATTTACAAAAATACAACAAAGAAAAAACTGCTTGTGTCATTCGAAAACAAAGCCTTTATTGTACCAAATCATACAGTTGTTATTTCTGTCTTTCAATTCCAACACATGGGCTCTAATTAAGCACTAATGTAAGACTGTGTTCAGTGTTGCATTAGCGCTATGCGACCTATGCAACCTCTTTACACATGCCATGTGCTCAAACAAATTCTAATTCATCAAATACTAACATGCCACATTATTATTCAACAATTCCAGATTATTGGCTACTTTTCAAAAGATACATTCTGGTTTAGGACCATTCATAAATTACATTATAGTTTTTGAGTCACTACTGACCTTCTTCCCCATTATGTGTAATGATATATTTTTAGCAATCCCTACCCTTTAACTATGTAAACAATATTCCATGAACCCCCAACATTGGAGAAATGTAAAATAATTAACACAACAGTGTAGTGGCATTACAACTACAATTTATTAGCGTAATTAAGAAGTACTCGCTAGTACTTTCAATGGCTTATAGCCACCATCCCCAGGCAAAAAACAAATCAAATACAATTAATTTTCAAACATTCAGTTATTTGTACGGGCTTTTTTAAAAATTAACCAAGGTATGTGGACAGAATACAGAACAAAATTAAATTAAATTAAATTTTTTTTTAAATTATATAAGTCAGCGCTGTCCAACTGGCGGCCCGCGGGCCGTATACGGCCCGCGGGCCGCCAGTTGGACAGCGCTGATATAAGTGCATTATAATTCACATCAAAACCTTTACAAATTAATTTAGTAATATGTAAATGATTGTAGTATATATATAAACACAGAATTACAAATTGAATTGTTTGAATAAGATTACACACAATTGCAGGATTTCTATGGTAGGTTTATTGCATGGTGTTATAGTATTTTCAACACCCTTTGACTATCCGCTATCCAATCCTATATTTACAGTATGTAGATGATATCTTGATTGGATGGAATGGCTTTGCAGAGGAATTAGACAACTTCATTAAAATGTTAGTTCTATATATCCATCTATCAACTTTACTGTGGAGGAAAAACTAAATACCAAACTCTCCTTTTTAGATCTAGAAATACATAGATTGCCTGAACTACTATTTTCTGTATACAATAAAAATAACAGTGTGCCACATATTATCCTCACAACTGCATTCCAGTCTTTACACTTTGTAAACTTCGCAATTACTTTTTTTATTCACAGTGTGTTCCTTCTCCCATCCACCCAGACATTAGTAAACAATGAATTACAACTTTTTCATAGGGCAGTATGCAATGCTGGTTATTCTCCTTCCAGGTTTCGTTATCTCTATAATTGGGCCAAAAATAAGTTATTCCCACATACTTTCCTCCACACAAAGGTTGAAATAAGGGTAGTAAAACCCACAATACCATTTTTGGCCCCATATCTTCATCATAAAGAATAACACATCTTTTTAGGAATCATGGTTTTACTTTGCCTATAGCTCCAATCTACACTACAAAAAGTGATATGTAATGATCGAGACACTATCACATTAACCTCACCTGTGTTACTCCCAACATATATCGGGGTCATGACCTTTGACCCGCTGCGTTGGACCAGAGGTATCTCATTACAGTATGGTATGTTTTTGGAACTATATGCCGCTAGTCGTTATAATTTTCATATTAAAAATAACTTCCAAAATAGAAATTTTTTTTGTCTTTATATTTATTAATATATCTATTTTGTTTGTAAAAAATAAAAAAATAATTTTGGAGAATATAATAACAAAAATTTAACATGGCGACCACACTCAACAGAGAAAAATTTTAACATGTAATACCGTGTTTCCCCGAAAATAAGACATCCGCAGAAAATAAGACCTAGCACAGATTTTGCTGAATTGCGAAATATAAGACCTCCACCTGAAAGTAAGACCTAGCGAAGTTGTTTTTTAGTCTTAACGGTCATCAACAGATGGTTGAAAGTGGCCGTTGGCTTTTTGAAAGTACAGCCACTGATTGGTCAGCAGACAATTATGCCACACGGCATGATTTGCATAAGACTATGGCTTGGGAATCACAGATTTGCATAATGTTACAGCTGGTGATGGCTAATTGGTCGGCTGGGAATCACGCCACATGACATTTGCATGGTGCTACGGTTCAGTAAGCCCTAATTGGTCATCGAGTCCGATGTTGACGTTATAAAAAGGCGACAGTTCGACACACCGGATATACGTCACTCTCGTCTAAGTTCGATTTGGGAATTTTTTTGTTCAATAATAAATGTGAATTCTTCTTCCTGGAAAAAATAAGACATTCCCTGAAAATAAGACCTAGCGCATTTTTCAGAGCAAAAATTAATATAAGACACTGTCTTATTTTCGGGGAAACACGGTAGGTTAAATGAAAAATCAGAAGTCTACAAAATTCCGTTACAACATGCACTCTTAGGAAGAAAATTATTTACATTGGACCTACTGCTAGAATGTTAGTCCTATATTTTAGAACATCAAGATGATATTAAAAACAACAGACTAGCAACTGTTATCTAAACATGTACTAGACCAAGATTATCTACTGCTTTGGACACACACCAAATTACTTAAGCATTGAAATGATAGAAGGGAGTTATTTATATGTGAGAGCCTTTATATATCTGCTTTAACACCATGCAGTAAACCTACCATAGAAATCCCACAATTGTGGATAACCTTATTCAAACAATTCAATTTGTATTAATTTAGTTGTCTTTATGTCCTTATCTCTTGTTTTATTCTATTATAGTCAACTAAGACCTATCTTATTAATAGGACATTTACACTGGTGTGATAGTTATTTGCAACAAGTACTGTTCTTAATCAGAAAAAACAAAACTCTATGTGTCCGAAACACAAATATGTGTATTTTTCACTTGTTCCTGTACACAAAATACACATATTTGTGTTTCGGACACATATGTCCCTCCAAACCTGCTGATGAGGGACGTATGTGTCCGAAACACGAATATGTGTATTTTGTGTACAGGAACAAGTGAAAAATACACATATTTGTGTTTCGAACACAGAGAGTTTTGTTTTTTCTGATTAAGAACAGTACTTGTTGCAAATAACTATCACACCAGTGTAAATGTCCTATTAATAAGATAGGTCTTAGTTGACTATAATAGAGTAAAACAATTCAATTTGTAATTCTGTGTTTATATATGTACTACAATCATGTACATAGTACTAAATTAATTTTTAAAGCTTTTGATGTGAATTATAACGCACTTATATAATTTAAAAAAACATTTTAATTTAATTTACTTTTGTTCTGTGTTCTATCCACATGCCTTGGTTAATTTTTAAAAAAGCCCATTCAAATAACCAAATGTTTGAAAATTAATTATATTTGATTTGTTTTTTGCCTGGGGATGGTGGCTGTAAGCCATTGAAAGTACTAGCAATCCTAATAAATTGTAATTGTAACACTGCTACACTGTTGTGTTAATTATTTTATACGATTGTTGGTGTAAAGTGTCTTTTTATGATTACTATGGAGAAATGATTTAAAGTTATGAAAAATTATCTTGCCTTGAAACAATAAAATCAAATACAGTAGAGCGTCGATTATCCAAATCAATTGGGGACTGGTGTTGTTCGGAAGATCGATGTTTCGGATAACCGATTATGTACGAAAAAATATATTAATTTATCCCATCTTGACATTTTTCTCCGTTGCGTGTCGCTTTGCGTTGAATTTTCATCAATGTTAAGCCTAACGAAGACTATTGTATAGTTAAAAATTATTTTTTTATTTTGTACAAACAAAATAAATATATTGAAAAATATAAAAACAATAAAAAATTATACTTCAGAAGTTAATTTAGTATCAAAAACGTAAAATATTTGAGTAGCCCAAGACATAGCCAAAGATTCCAGTGCCACAGCACTGGCAAAAATTTAAATTTGCCGACTGGAATTCTTTCGGATGATTGACGCTCTACTGTACTATTATATTATCTAAAAAACAAAACAAAAACATGAAATACACTGCACATTAGTTCAACAAATTTAATATTTCTTGTAATCACTTAAATTTTTCTGAAAATGTAAAGGGATATAATAATTTAACTGATAACTAAACAGGGTGTCATAAAGGTCTCCCAATTTTGAAAAATCAATACTTGATAGCTAATGGATTCATATGAGCAAAACTGCACATCAACACAAAGAACTCTGAAAGCTTTTCTCTCTCCTGCCACAGAGAGTTACGTAAAATTGCCACTAGGTGAAATAGAATAAAAATGGTATTCACTGTAACAGAGAAGGTATTTTCAGTGCTCCAGTTCCATGATAGCAATTCTGTCATTACTGTTCAGCTAAGCAGCCACTGACAAGCAAGACAATTCATGTATGGTACAGACAGTTTCAAGAAACCACTATCACCTGGATGTTTTATCTGGACATGTTGACAGAATGGACAATGCCACAGTTATAAGACCACCCTAATTCATATTCCAACATGTCAGAGCACCTCTGCCCTTTCATCACAATATTTGTGCCTATCTGAACATGGCCTGCCACAAAGCTGGATCAGATATGTATGCCAATAACAACTGATTGTTACAATTGTACTCCTCAGTCACCAGATCTCATTCCATGACTTTTTTTTTCTGGGAATGCATTAAAGACATTGTTTGTATCACCATTGCCTTTTGACATAGTAGAGCTGAAGAAATGCATTGTTAATGACATGGAGACCATGCAATTTTATGAGCTGCTTGTGGCAGAAACTAGATCAGGCATGGCCAACACATGGCCCGCAGGCTGGATGTGGCCCATGATTAATCTTTTAATATTAGCTACTCAAGTCAGAATAGATTGGTGAAAAATTCTAATGCCTAAAAAAGAAAAAAAAGGCCAACAACTCGCTAGAGTTAACCCTCCATTACAAATCTTTTAAGTACAGAATAGAACGTTGATAATGCATGATAATGTGAAAAATGTATCTGTAATCTCTATGTACTGTACAATTTAGTCTCTACGAGGTGACACCACAATGAGATCTCGCACCACCTCAAAATCTTCCTACGGCAGCCTCTGGTTCGGCCCGTGAAGAAAGTTCTCTTTCCAATTCGGCCCAGGGGCAAAAACTGTTGGCCACCCCTGAACTAGATTACCACACAGACGTGCTGTATGGTAATCTAGTTCTATAGTAGGCATATTGAGCATCAAAAAACTTGAGTTTTTACATGTACATAGAAGCAATATGTGTATAATGATTTTTCAAAATACAGGAGACGTTTTCAACTTACTCTGTACATAACAGAAATTAATGCTTAATTTTTTCATTCAATAATTTAGATTATTTAAGTGATATATGTTTTATTATTATATTTTACTTTAATTTTATAAAAAATTATTTATTAAAATTTTATAATTATATATATAACTCAAATATTTCATAACCTTTCCATTTGTGTATATGCTTCTTCTGCAACTGCAAAAATATGTGGATCAAGGTCACCCATTGCTTGGCCACGATAAGCCATAATTGTGTCATTTCCATATATGGGAAGCTCTTCATATGGATTAATTGCAACAAGTACAATTCCTGACAAAATATTTAATAATGAAATATTATATTTTATATATGTCATATTAAATGTTAATTACTAAAATGTCTGATATTAAAAAAAATGAAGTGTTCCCCTTGCACCTCCACACTTTTAAACTGTTCTGTAAAATTCATTTGAGCAGTAGTTGTGCCAAAGGATGCTGATCAATACTAATTTAGAAGGTAAATAGCAAAATTGCAAATGTATAACAGTTGAATTGTAAAAGTCAGTATGTATGTTCAATAACAAAGCAAGTTTCATGTCCATAAATTTGAAAGGGCCAACATTGCTGTGTAATGGCTATATGGACCTCTGCTGCCACATGGTCTATATTGCTGGAATGGTTGATGGAGCTCCATTCCTTGGCCTGTCTAATCATCTGACATCACCCCTTTGAACTTTTTTCTTTGTAGATGGATCAAGAATTGCACGTAATCATGTGTCAGACATGAGAATCCTAGGTACAAGAAACTTGAATGTCATTAACAGTGTGACTCCTAACATGTTTGCTCAAACATGGATCAAAATCAAGTATAGATTGGATATCTGAAAGCATTTCTTTTCACAAAATTAATCCACAAAATTAAAGAGATTCACCACCCTAATTCATATTCCAACATGTCAGAGCACCTCTGCCCTTTCATCACAATATTTGTGCCTATCTGAACATGGCCTGCCACAAAGCTGGATCAGATATGTATGCCAATAACAACTGATTGTTACAATTGTACTCCTCAGTCACCAGATCTCATTCCATGACTTTTTTTTTCTGGGAATGCATTAAAGACATTGTTTGTATCACCATTGCCTTTTGACATAGTAGAGCTGAAGAAATGCATTGTTAATGACATGGAGACCATGCAATTTTATGAGCTGCTTGTGGCAGAAACTAGATCAGGCATGGCCAACACATGGCCCGCAGGCTGGATGTGGCCCATGATTAATCTTTTAATATTAGCTACTCAAGTCAGAATAGATTGGTGAAAAATTCTAATGCCTAAAAAAGAAAAAAAAGGCCAACAACTCGCTAGAGTTAACCCTCCATTACAAATCTTTTAAGTACAGCATAGAACGTTGATAATGCATGATAATGTGAAAAATGTATCTGTAATCTCTATGTACTGTACAATTTAGTCTCTACGAGGTGACACCACAATGAGATCTCGCACCACCTCAAAATCTTCCTACGGCAGCCTCTGGTTCGGCCCGTGAAGAAAGTTCTCTTTCCAATTCGGCCCAGGGGCAAAAACTGTTGGCCACCCCTGAACTAGATTACCACACAGACGTGCTGTATGGTAATCTAGTTCTATAGTAGGCATATTGAGCATCAAAAAACTTGAGTTTTTACATGTACATAGAAGCAATATGTGTATAATGATTTTTCAAAATACAGGAGACGTTTTCAACTTCATGTTT